GTAACAATATGTTTGAATAAACAGACCTGAGGCATGACCTCACCTTAAAAAAAAAAAAAAAAAAAAAAAAAAAAAATATATATGTCATCAACCTTGTATACATTTATAAATTATACAAATAATTAATTAAATTATAATTTTTGTATATTATTTATAACAAGTTTTTTTAATATATATAAAAATAAATAAAATAATAAATTATATAATAAAAATTAATATATAAAATATATTTTATATTTACATTTTTTTTTAATTGTTAAATATAATTTTTCAAATTTTTATCTTTTATTTAAGATGTATAATCAGGTTTTGTTAACAATAATGCTAAAACTAAATAAATTGAATTATATAATTCAAGAAGTTACTTTTATATAATAAAACTAAAATTCTATTAAGTTTTAGTATCAAATAATATATCTAAAAGACTTATTTATATTTTAATATTTTTATTATCTTTAGTAATATGACTTTTATATTATAATTCTCTTAGTTATTATATCTGCTTTAAGAACTTAAAAAAAGTTGCAAACTCTTAATTTATTTATATATGTTTTTATATTATTTTAAACTCTTATTTACAAATAATTGCAAAGTATGAGCTGCACAAGGTTGTTTTTCAATATGTAACAAGAAATTTTTAATAAAATTAATAGATTTTATTATGTTTATACTATTATTTGTACTATTAATAAGAATTTTGTCAATAAGATTTTATTACTAAATAACATAATATAGCTTCTTGTTAATAATTTTATCAGTATATAGATAATCTAAAATATTGCAAATAAGTAATATCTTATAAAATTTAAATTCTGAACTAAGTTAGATAGTTATTATTCCAATATATTCATAATTATTCCTAGCTGTTCAAAGATTAGTTATTAAATGAACTAAAATAATAGTATTAGAAAGTAAGTTATATAATTGGCTTATATTTTATAAATATGTTTCATAAATAAATTTTGTGTTTTGTTATATAAAATATAAAATCTAAACTTATAATCACAAATGAATTTATAAAAATTTTTATTTTGAAGAATATATAATAGTTATATAAATTTTATTATAAATTTAATTAAAAGATAAGACAATACTTCTTGACAAAGTTTACTACATTGTAATAGAAATATTTCATTTTCTTTTAACTAATATAAATTGAAAAGTTTTATTACTATAACAAAGAATAATCAAATATTATTATTAAATACACAATTTCTTATTTCATTATTTGTATTTAAATATGTTTTATAATTTTTATTATATTATGATTTTCTGTAAATGACTGGCTATGTTTGAAATTGTACCTCCTTTACGATTATAAGAATAAGACGTTTTATTAGTATTACTAAGATCTTTATATATTATGAAATAAGTAATATTATTGTCATTAGGATCTTAAGAAAAAAAATGAGTTATGTAACTTTTATTGATTCTGTTACTTTAACTATTTTACTTTTGTTTTTTATGAATATTTATAGAGTTTGAACTTGCTGAAGTTGATATTTCAACTTTAGAAGTAAGCTCATGAATATCAAGATCTGAAGAAGGTGCAGAAAAAGAAGCCATTTTGTGTATATCTATGTCTTTTGTTTGTAATATGACATATTTATATAATTAAAATTATTTAATTAGTTACTTAGTAAATTTGTCATATGGGTTTAGTTCTCTGTGAGAAATAATAAGAGCGAATTAAATTTTTTTTTTAAAACAACAGTTCTTACAGAAATCTAATCATTTATTGTATTAACAGGTTTACAATTTAATTTATTCTTTCTATACAAATTTTAGTTCTCGAAGAGAACCAATTACATATAATAAGTTTCATGAGATCATAAAGCCAAACTCGATGGCTTTCTAGAAGAATTTTAGTTTTAGGGTTATTGCAAAGTCTAAAGCCCAAAAGTTAATTTATTATTTTCTATATGAGCCTTAGCTCTCGCAAAGGACTAAAAAATATTGTGTAAAATTTGCACGATAATACAAAAATCAGCATAATGACAAATCTGATAATTTCAGATTGAATTTTGTTGCAGCATAAAATCATCACATCGTCCCTGTGATAGAATCTTGCAAAATGAAAATAGTGTTCGAAATCAATTCTCATCAAAAATCGAATCTTAAGCTAAAAATTGAAAGCATCATTAGCTGTTCCTCAGAGTATAATAGGGTACAGTAACGTAACAAAACGAACAAATAGCGGGAAAAGCGACTATCAAGGAAATGTCTGGAAAAATGAATGGGATCCTGACATTTTTATCACATTATTATAGATAGAGAATTTATATTGACTAATTATATATATATATCAAACCCTAATTTTCTGTTTTTCGGATTATTTTTACTATTATAAAATAAAATGTGTAATTTCCGAATATGTATTCGGCAATAAATTTTCATACGTATGAACGTGGGCTATCATTTTATTAGTAAAATTTTGGTCGATTTGGTTGATCCACTAATAATTGATTTCAATCATTTTTAACGTTAAAATTTAATCGCAATTTTCGATATCCTGCACGAACTGATTAGGTCATGTGTTTAATAAATAACTAATCAAAAGCCTGACTTATTTGAACTGCCTGTGTGTATGAAATAGATTGACGATTAGTGAAAAAACGCACTCGCTCATTTTTAGGATTTTGTTTCAAGAGATCCCATGAGCTTCTTTCATCGGAAGATTTATCTTTTGTCAAGGATTCCGGAGATTCAATCATTCACTGGAGATCTCGTCTGTCTTTCGTTTGTTTTAGGCTTTATCCTTCACCATTACATAAAATTGTTTCTTCTAACAACTGTAGATCGGATCCTATATCTTTTAAAGGAATTGCAACAAGTACTAAGAATGTAAAAGATAAAAAAGATAAAGATTATATATATAAAGAGCATCATGATCTTAAATCATTTCTTGCTCTCAAAGATGTTAATAAAAATACCCCAGTATATCACGGTAATTTATATTAATATCAGACAATAGCATGCCTTAAAACGACATTTGGAATTGTCACAAGATGAGTAGGTAAAACTAACGATGGGGGATAGATTTTCGAGGACAGTGGATATTACCGGATAAAAGACTATGTGTCATTGGTCAATACAAAGCCTTAGCCAAAAAATGTTCTCCAAATATAATTCGAGAGCTTGAAAGCGTACTTGTCAGGAAACTGAAGGAACATTATGCATTTTATCGTCAATGAACGGTTTTACTGGATATGCTATTAAAAGATATATTCCCTATTATGTTAATAACGGTTACAGATAATGGAAGAAAGTTAGGAAGTATTTCATGGAATAAAGCAGCCGAAGAATACTTGAAAGGATTTCAAGTAACATTGAAACATGATCTTTTGAATTAAAAGCCTCTTATTTTACATAATGGAAAACCTTTTATTTTATATGAAGAATAATTCTAATTACCAACCTGGATGGTTTCATTAAACTTCAATAAATCGATTTTATTAAAAAATAATTTTTAGATAAATATCTGTATTATCGTTTACTATTTTATTACATTTATTCGTTTTTTAAAAGTTTTTTTTTTTTGTTTGGTACAATTAGAAAACATAATAGTGTCAATAATTAAGATAAGAATAATAGACTTTATTACCATCTAGCCTATTTTTTACATATATTTAAAGTTAATCAAAGCCACGATATCTTATATGTTTTTCTAATTAATAATTATATATATCAGTTAATTATAAGTTTAGATATATAGAGAGAGTAATTACTAAAACAACATATATATACATGAAAATAAAAGATAATCAGTTTATCGATTACATATAAGAATTGACTGCATTTAAGAAAAAAAATAAACTAAAAAAATTACTTAAATTCTTATTAACAACTTCAACCTTTAAAATTTAGATTAAAATATATAGTTAAAATAATTCAAATTTTAGTATCTAATCGTGATATTTTTATTAATATAAAACTAAAATACGCAGCAGACAATTTGGTTTAAAAATTTTTAATTTTAATTTTAACGCTTACCAGAGGTGAAATTCATGTCTCCCAAAACTGCTTTAGTAATCGATATGTATACTAAGTAAACATTTTCAGCACCCCAAAGGATCCTAACCTTCATTTAAGCCTTAAATTCTGCGTAACCCTAAAGTTCAATTTTATCTTATGTAATTTGAGGTAAAATTCCTATAGATATAATTACAATCAGTGTTATAAATTCAAAAAAATTTTATTCGCACAAACGCAAAAAAGTGTGCACAAAAAAAAAAATTATATGCGCGCTATATATACGGAGAGCGCTGATATACGCGCAAATTTAAATCTATGTACGCTGCGAACCCAATTTACAACATTGTGATGAATTTCACCTGACCGTTCTATGAATCCTAAGACATAATTGGCTGTGCATGCATGGATTATCACGAAACATTAACTAAAATTGCGCGTACGTTAAAAGAAACTTATTGTTATTGAAACCATGGAAAATAAAAATGAAAACGAATACGACGAATTTTACATGAATCGTACGTATTTACTTCTTCGCTATGACTGTTAAGATTTGCTTTTTTAAGCAGATTTGATGTGCAGGAGGAAATTGATATATCTTTTGAAGAAGAAATTCTACGTAATCCGTATACTTTGAAGTCATGGTTTCGATATATTGACCATAAAGCAGAGCAACCTATCCAACAAAGAATTTTTTTACATGAACGTGCCTTAAAAGAGTTGCCAGGATCTTATAAATTATGGAAGCAATAACTAGATCTGCGAAGAGAACAAGTTCAAGATTTAAATCCAGCTAGATATGAAAAAGAATATTTAAAAGTTAATAATTG